TTAGACCTGTGCGCTTTGGTGTGGTTTATAGGTGTATGCGTGTGACTCTCATAGTGTGAGGTAGCAGTTGGAAAACAGTGGGATCATTTGCCCTTGCATTGCATAGAGAGCAATATTCCCATGGATTTCAAAATATGCCTTCTCCAAGAGCATGCCCAGTAGAGACTGTTATTTCTTAAACAAATAGGTTCTGCAATAAACACAGAATCATAGAATCACTTGGATTGCAGAAGATCTCTACAACCATTGAGTCCAACTATTCCATATGCCCAGGACCTGTAATTTCAAATGTCTTCTCTACATAACTTTTCAGCTTAAATAGAAAAATACAATACCTTTTGGATTTTACCATAAAGAAGCTGGTGCTGGGGGAGGTCACCAGTTCCTCTACACTGAAGTGAACAGTGGTAGTTGGTAGGCTGGATTGCAGAAGATCTCTACAACCATTGAGTCCAACTATTCCATATGCCCAGGACCTGTAATTTCAAATGTCTTCTCTACATAACTTTTCAGCTTAAATAGAAAAATACAATACCTTTTGGATTTTACCATAAAGAAGCTGGTGCTGGGGGAGGTCACCAGTTCCTCTACACTGAAGTGAACAGTGGTAGTTGGTAGGCAGGTTTTTCTAATTTTACCATAAAGAAGCTGGTGCTAGGGGAGGTCACCAGTTCCTCTACCTTGAAGTGAACAGTGGTAGTTGGTAGGCAAAGCAGGTTTTTCTGTATTAATTTAGCCTTTGCAATCATACGAATGCATTGGAGGAGAAACTGCACTTAGATTTGTGATCAGTCACACCCAGCAAGTGTGCTTAATGTTTCATCAAACATTTTTCTGTCAGCCCTATAATTCAGTGGTGTTCTTTGTTTGAAGGTGTGGCTGAAACAAACATAAAGGACTGTAAACTGCAGTATAGGAATGCTTGCTTGTATTGAAAAATGCTTTTACACTGTAAAGGTATGTTGGAAGTTTCCCTCTCTTCTCCCTTGCCAAGTCACTTTTTCAGGGAGTAGTAACCTAAAGGCAGAAAGTCCTTTTTTAAATTTGTTTTGTAAGTGTCTGATAAGATTTATGTGCAAGAGAATTGAGAGCTATATTAAAGACTGTTACTATCCATCATTTTTAAAGTGGTGTGAAGAAAAATAACACTGTGTGTATGTGCATCGAGATTTGCAAAATTGTTAAAGGAGCCAAATTCAAGTGCAGTGCATAATGCCAGGGATGACTATTTGGTGTTACTTTTTTTCTCTCTTTCTTGGGTCATCGGTCAGTAGTGAGCAAAGATCTGTTGCAGTCTGACAGGTATTCACTGGCATGTGTTAATAAATATTTATAGATAATTTTGTCAGTAGTTTCAGATGCTCATCTGCAGCTAAAAGTAAGGGTCTCTTCAACCTTCTATCCCCCCAAGATGTTTTTGTAATTTTTAACGAAGTCTAAGGGGAAAAAGATGAGGTCTGTGATCCCATCCCATTGAATCTTTCACTCTGGTCTGTTCTGACCTATGGTGCTTTTTTTCCCCCTTTGTAATAAAAGTAGGCACTTCCCACTCAGCACTCTCACATCAATCTTCTCCTTTCCTCCTGACTTCTGGTGGGATTGTTGGCTATGGTTGCACTTGCTTTTGGTCAGAGGAAAAAGGAATATGATGACAGTTTCTTATGTCTGGCACTGTAATGGGAGTTTGGACTGCACTCAAATCATGCTCCACAAAGAGGGTGGTCAGGCACTGGAACAGGCTGCCCAGGGAAGTGGCCATGGCACTCAGCCTGCTAGAGATCAGGGAGCATCTGGACAACACACTTGGTCATATGGCTTAGTTTTAAGTAGTCCTGCAAGGCAAAGGGAGTTGAATTTGATGATCCTTACAAGTCCCTTCAGCTTGAGATATTCTGAGTCTATGATACATGCAACCTTCTATGACAGATGTAAAACACATAGGTTGGTGTGCTGCAGAGGCTCCAGAGGACCTGCTAGAAACTGAAGTGGACAGAGCTGTGGAAGTCTCACACTGGACAGTTAATCAAAGCCATGAATGAAGCACTATCTGTTATTTAGTATTAGAAACAGTTGGATTGAGAGAGGGTAGGAGAAACATTTTCCACTGCGGTGGGTTTTTGCAGGGGCAACACAAGACAAGAGAGCAGAAAGGTTTAAACCTCTGTGTTTATCCCTGTCTTTACCCATGTCTCAGAAGCCTCACTTCATCAGTACTGTAGTTTTGCATAATGTGAGTAAAAGAAGTAAAGTCTGTGACAGTTTCAGGAGTCTTTTTAAGGCTTCACCTAGAATCAGAAGAAACCGGTGAGGAAACTGAGTCTAGACAAGCTGAATTTGGCTAACTTTCAGGGATTTGTTCTCTGTTGCACAGGTAAATGATATGAGCTTTATTGTCTGCTGAAGTAACTTGTCTTGAATTTCTAAGTGAATTCTGGGTTTGTTCTATGAATATTGAAAAGAAGTTGCCAAGTGGAAAAATGAATTGCCTTTCTCCTTGCATAGATTTCTCCCCTTTCCTCAAAAAATACATGCTTGCAGGTTCATGAAGCCAGTCCTCCATTGTTAGTTTTATCATCTTTCAACCATATGGTATGTTTTCCTATATATGCCAAAGAAATGGTACCGAGTCCAGGTGTCGTTCAACATATCCTCTTGGCTGCCTCTCTTTAAGCCCAGTAGAGCACTTTTGAAAATCAAATATTTCTCCTCCTATCCACATTTAACTGAGAGCTTTGATGAGGTCTTGCCAAAGCCTAAACTCAGAACAGTCTAAATTATACATTGTATGGAACCTCTAAGCCAGGGGAATGAGTAATTGCCGGAGACTACTTCTCTGACATAGCTTGGTTGTTTTAGTTTAACAGAAGTATAATACAAGCCTTGCAGTAAGGAGCAAGTCTATACTTAGCTTATTGTAATGCTTTTAGGCTGCTTAAACAAGGCTGGTTTGTTTTGGTGTCTAAAATTCTTTGTTTAAAGTTTCTTCCAAAATCTCTGGCTCCAGTATAAAGGTTTTTGTCACGTTAAGTCATTTATATGACTGACAAATAAAATTCAGCATAGAACTGCAATCCCAGAGAAATGGTTTTAAAGGAAATAAATCTGAGCAGGAAGATTTAGTATAGGCTTGGTAATGCCTTTCCTGCAGTTACTGGGAGCCAGGTTTTGTCTACAGACTGCTAAAATCCTGGTGTTGTGGTTGTAAACACTGATTAGTGTGATTGAGTTCTTTCCAGGTGTTGAAATTACATGTGCTATTGCAGTGTTAGGAGTTGTTCCAATTCATCATAAAAAAGGACTTTATAAATAGAAGTGTTTCAGAGAGGTTTGTGCAAATCATGGTCTTTTTAACTAACTCAGGCTTTATTGACAGTCAGCTTTCTTAAAAAGAATCAAAAATTGTGTCTAAGCAGTGGCCATAGATACTTCAGTTGAAACACAATTTCCTGCAAACGTGGGTTCTTTGTTTTCTTTCTTTTAAACAGCCATTAAGAAGTGCCTCTCAAAACCATTGACTGAATGTGTTCTGAAGCTCCTTGATTCATTTGTTATGTGAATGACTATTACACATTTGTTTATCTGTAGGAAAAAAATCATTCCACCAAAGCATCCTTGAGGTACCTTTTGCATTGCTTGAATGGTTGTTGTCTTGAAAATGAAGTTAGAGGCAGCTTAATTTTGGCCCTAAAACTGCCTCTTTATGGGGGGGGGGGGGTGTTTGCTATTACCCTCTTTCCCCAAATTATTTATTTGCAGTCTTCAGGTTTGTCAGGAGTTTAAAAAATGCTTTAATCTCCTGAAAAACTGTGGTGGATTTACTTCGCTTTCTTCTGACCTTTTGGTCTCAAAGCATCAGAACTACAGAAGCTGTAGCAGTGACTTAGGGTTGTTGTTCATCAAATAGTATGTGTCAGCTTCTCGAGTTACTTTTCCTGTTGTTCAAAGCTACTGCTAATTTAGACCAATTGGAATTTGGAGTTGGCTTCTTCATATAGTAGTGTACAAAAGCTCCAGCTGATTATAGTCTAGCAGTCTAATCCTTCAAACGGTCATATGCATAACAATGTTCATGTTACTCTTCATGTTAATATATTTGTCTTAACTCTGAGGCAAGACATGTGGAAGTAACAGGTGTTAGTAAACAAAGGGCAAGATTGCAGTAAAGGCTGTCAGATACCTTGTTGGTTTGATAGTGTATGAGTTGTAAAGATAAAACTCACAAAAACATCCTATGAGACTGTCAAGTGGTAGTGAGAATAGCTGAGTAAAAGAGCAAGACTGGAAAAGAGAGATATCAGAATAGAGAAATGGGGAAGTTGAAGGAGAAGAACAGCAAGCAGGGAATCTAAAACTTGACCTAAAATACCAAGAGAGACCTTGGAACAGTCAGTTGATGCATTGGCCTCAAATCCAGGGTAGCTTAGAGATACTGACTCATGAGACTATAGCAAGTCATGCTTAGAAGGTCTGAAAATTCTTTTTCCTTTCTTTTTATACTCCATAGTACAGCTCCATACAGGGCCAGGAACTTTGGCTGGCATCCTCTTTACTGGCGAGGAGTCGGCTCTAAACACCATTAAGGAATTCAAATGTATCATAATTATTTCTCAGCTGTGCCTTCTGTCTAATTATATGCCAGTTTAAAACTATTATTTTAGCAGCTTTATATAAACACTGTCAAAGTACCCTGCATTTTGTCCTTCCCACCAGGCAAGATATTGGAGCTAGCATAGGTATTTTCACTTTGGCTTGTTTGGGGTTTGTGTGCTGCTCTGGGAGTCTGTATGCACACGTGTTGTATGTATTTGCTACTATTTAAGATAAAGGAACCCTGGTGACTTTAGTTGTTATCCCTCTAATGAACCATCAAGATGAGGTACCAACAATGGCAAAAGTAAATATTGTTGGCAGATAAGGAGTAATTCTAGGGTTTCTTTTCAATCACCACTTCTGCTTCTCTCCATAGGCACTGTCCTGACTGATATTTACTCCTTTTCTAGGCGAATCTTGCTCAGCTATTGAGTGAGGCTCAAGATCGAAATAAGCATCTTGGAGAAGAGATTCAAGAGCTTCAACAGAGACTGGGAGAAGTCCAAGGAGACAATAAGGTATTGCAAACTTTTGTTACCAGTAAACAGCATGGAATGTGTAAACTGAGCTGGAGTTTAGCATTTCCTTTGTCAGAAAACAAATCCAACAATGGATTACAGAACTTCTAGAATAATTACAATAAATGCTTAAAAGAGTAGAGCAAAAGAAACTTTTACAAGATACCAGCAAGTGCAGCTTATTATATATTTTTGCATGCTGCTTGTGCTCTGTTGTCCTTAACTATGTATTTTGGACCTAGCCTTGCTTTAATACTCTCAGACTTTACTTTTTCCTTTTTTTTAAAATAATTTTATTAGTGGTATTTCCTCTTACAAATGAGTACAGATAAGCATGTCTTCTTCATCATGTGGTAATTTTCTTTTTTTTTGCACTGAAAATGCAAAATTTTAGTAATGATAAAACCAGAGGAGCCCATTTTTTCCCTTAAAAACATGGAGCAGTTGATCACAAACATATATAGTGAGCTTTGTATTAAGCCCTCATCCCATTACCCTTACATAACCAATTTATTTCATTGCTAAATTTAGCAAGTTATATGGAACATTGCTCAAAATCTGCCATTTGGTATTAATCAAACTCCTGTTGTCTCTGTTAATTGAAATATTTAAACCCAAGCCAAATGTGTGTAACATTCACAGCTGGAGCTTTATGCAAAAGTACATTCAGAGATCAAACTAGTGAGAGGTTGAACTGGAGAGTCGAGGTGGTTAACAAAGTGAAAAATTGAAACAAATAATGAATGATAACTTGCCTCCCTCAACTACAGTTTTAAAATTATGGGATTTAAAAATGTGAATAAAAATGATGCGACTATTGATTATTCGGATTTAATTTTTTAATTTCGATTTAAGTTTATTTTAGTTATTTTCTTTTAAACATGAGCATATTGAAGGTGTTCAGGGAGCTGGGAAAGGGTCAAGTGAGACCTGAATTGGTGCTGTGCATAGCATTCAGCATCACTTGCTCAAGTCTCCAAAGACCAGGTTTCCTGGTGTTAAGATAACTAGTCTTTTATTTTCATTTGCATGTTGCTGTTTGAACTATATTACCATGTAGAAGTCAGTGCCTCACAGTTCTCCAGTACCAATATTATGCCATACAGCCTTTCCCAAGCCAGTCCTGAGCAGATAACAAGGGTTTGTAAGTACAAACACAACATAAAGGTAGTAAAACTAAAACGTGTTTCAATGTCAAGGTTATATACCTATTTTAATTCCTTAGGACAATACGGTCTTGGTAACACAGAGTCTGTTTCTTTGTGCTTGAAGTAGCTCTTTTATGTTCACCTTTGTGGGTTAACTTGATATTAGTCAGACATCTTTGTGACATCTGTATTCTCAGCATGAAATTTAAATTCATGATCCTCGAAATGAATGGAAAAGTACAAAGAGAGCTCTTCTGCCCAGCGTGCCCCTCTCCAAAAGGTGCAAAATAGTGCATCACTAAATAAAGAGTGGGAGGAAAAAGCTGCATCAGACACGGATTAATTTAGACTAGGATTTTCATTTTTGGAACACATCCTTCACTTTCCTAGTAAATGAGAAATAGAGCTTATTTTAGAGTCAGGTTGCTGGTTTTCAGAGCGCCTAAAAAAGCATTGCCATCTCTCTGAGGGATTTAACACTCTCCTTCTGTGTCAGAGTTCTCTCTCTCTCCTAGCCTTGGTGATAAAATTCCAGGCTTGTTCCTGAAGCCATTCTGTCCTGCTCATCAGTTCTCCTGTGCTGGCAGCTGGGCTACTTCAGGCACTGGATTCCAGATAATGCATGGTATATAAGAAAACAAAGAACTATAATAATTTGCTTGTTCTTACATTTTCCCCCTGCATTCTTACTGCTTTTCCCAAAGTGAGGGAGGGCATCCTGCCCAGCTGGTCTACGTCAGCCTTACTTCTGGCAAGAGATGAACAAACAGCTGCTTTTGCAGCAAGTGAAGCTGCTTATGGATGAACAGTTCTGCCTGTGTCTGAGCAGGGGTGACTCATACAGGCTTTGTCACTGAGTGGCAAGAGCTTTGCAGGACTAAAAAAGAAAAAAAAACCCCTCTTTAAATATCACACATTAACTCTATTGATAAAGAAATGTTTTGATGGCTTGACTTGTTTTTCACTGCTTTAATGTTTGCTATGAGTAGGATACAGTCACTTGGATTAGCAAGAAGACCTTAAACTGGAGACACTACTTGTTGAAATCGTGTTAAGTACGTCATCAGTTAGGCAATAACAAATTACTTGCATTTGGTTTAACTGGACTAATTTTTTCCTCTGATTTCAACTAGAATTTTGTTGGCACAAATAATAAAACTTATTCAAAGAGTCCCTGGATGGATTTGCTGCTGCAGTTTGAAAAATACAGCAATAGTTAGACTGCAGCACTCCAACAACAGATATCTAAGACTATTTATTTTTATGACTGATCACAATCTCACAAGCTCTGACACATGAAAACTCTTCTATGTTTATGACAGTTATTTGTAAATCTTCTTCCTTCCTAATGTTCTGGCAGCAATGCTTGGAAACAATTACTGAAACACAGAAGCAGATAGTTAGAAAATCCAATTCTCTCTTGAAAAGGGTAAAAATGGAAAGCTTAAGAGAAACTGGAGGCTTCTGCGAGACTGGATGACTCAGTTGCCTTGACATGTATTCCTACCTACGCAGAGAATTGCTTTTGTAGGCTGCTGGGAGCAAGAGGAAGGTGCAGGGGAAACAATGGCTGCAGTGTTACTGTCAGGTCACCGTGGCAAGGCACAATCATTTGTGCAGCACAGTGTGAAATGTTAAACGTGGCGTGTGTGTTTTGGCAGAACTGGGATTAAGGCAGCACGTTTGCATAGCTCTGGTCCACTTTTTACAATTTTGTAGACAATTGCTTTCAGTGACAGTGGCTAAACGTGATGGTTCCTGCCTTCCATGAAGAATTTACTTCCATGTTTCCCTTTTTCCCTGTACATGTTCTCCTGGTAATCAGCAGTGTCCAGGTTTGGTGCAGGTGTTGTCTGTGGATTCCTAGCCTGCACAGCAGCTTATCCCAGTGAAGCCTGTTTGGGGTATGTAGGGCTGATACAGTGTTGCTACTTGTTAAATCATTATCTTAGCTGAAAGTTATTAAGAAGAAGCTGTGATGTTAAAATAAAACGTCTAGTGGCTTGCAGCACTGGATTGTTTTGGTTAACAATCTATGGGTTCTTGACAAACAGGAGCTCTCTCTGGTAAGGTGCCATTAATTTAAAGCCACTCAGCTGTGAATGCTGTTCACAGAATCCTGAGGGGTAGTGTTAACCTGTTCTCGAGCTGCAAAATGAAGTTGAGCTGTCCTTTTCTCAGTGATTTCTGAATGACAGACATAAAAATACAGCAGCCAGAGGGCAAGCATATAAAGTTTATAACAAAGCACTAATATATGAAATAAACCCTTAAACCTCTGGCATAACAGTGTCTCTTTGGGTCACAGCATTTTCAGGGAAGAATTTTATAGCAGGTGGTGCTGCCTCATGAGACATTCGCAATGCAGAATTAAACGACTTGGCCTGTTCTGCCCTGTCAACTCTCTGATTGGCCAACTGTCTGGAAGAAGCACTCTGTTGTTTTATGGATTGGTATTTTACTTTATTTTATGTATGTTAATAATGCTGCTTTTACTGGCTGAGTTTGGATTTCTGAAGCATTCTTTTTGTAAGACCTCATGCTCTCTTTTTTTCCTCAAAACTAGTAGTAAATAAAGAGTTCTCCCTTTATTGACAGGCTGTTTGACCTTGCAAGTTGTAATTGCTTGCAATTATATTTGCATCTTGTGCTTGGGCCCCTCCTGGGCTGGGGAAGAGTTGGTCACAGAGCACGAGTGACAGCTCTGATCCAGTTCCCAGCCTGGTACTGGGTGTTACACAGAGGTTTTGCTCTGCTGCAGACATTGGAGGCATTAACAAAGTGTGACTCCCCTTCCTGGTTCCAAGTCTTTTGAACAAGATCGAAACCTCAAAATGTTATTACATTTGTCCCTTGCAGCCTGTCTCACTAGTGAGAGGTCCTAGAGATGAAGTTAATCTGGCTGAATTAAGCCATGTTACCATACCTTTTGTTCATCAGCCTTTTAGCATTTAAAAACCCAATCCTGTAGCTCTGAAGCCACTCCAGGATTTGCTAGTCGCCTTTTTGACTTATTTTTTTTTGATAAAGAAATTAATAGGAATTATATCTCCTCGGATCCATTCAGCCTTACTAAGTGTGCAGTGGTTTGTACTTCCCCTGTGGGGATAGGGAAATGTAGTTTGCCAAAACCAGTTACTTTTGCGGCCACAGCTTTCCCTGAACAAGTGAACTGCTTATCAGAACATGTTGTACTAGCTTCAGTGACTTGCACTGAACTGGAGCTGAAATAAGTGGGGAGGATGATTTTGGTAGTCTGTCTTGCATCAGCAGGATTTTAATTGGCACATTGCAGCTATGGTGACTGGCATCCCATAAATACCAAAGATAGATTTTAATGTACAATCTTCTGCTTCAGAAGATTGATTTTTTCCTAAGTCTGCAATATAATGATGTACATTAATTCTTTGGTGCAAGGAAAGTCAGGCTGGTTATTGTGGTGGGTTTCTCTAGTCTCTGTGGAGCTCCTACAAATGAGGCCACAGGGAGGCAACACTTTTGCCTAGTTGTACTCAGTATAAACAACTGTAAATGCTGAATGGCTTTCAGATTGGTATTTAATACTCTGTGGTTCTTCAAAGGTCGTTGCTTTTTGCTTTGGATATTGAATGTAAATGTGTATTAATTCAAGTCAGACTGTTTTCAGCAGTCACAAAGCTCATGAGCTCATTAGCTGTTCGAGCATTTTGGAAGAGTCTTTTTGTTGTTGGCCCATTTTTTTGGTTTTGACATGAATTAACTTTTGTGAATAGATTAAAAAAACAATGCACAAGCAAATGTATTAGCAGCTGTTAATACAAATTCTGTACTGATGTAGCACAGAGGGGTTTTTAAGTAAAGTAAAACGAAGCTGGGCAAGCCACTTCTTGCATTTTTATTAACTAGGAAGAGTTCTGTGCTCAGAGAATTTTAACATTTGCATGTGAAAAGGGCTTTCTGATAATTCTCTAGTTTTAGTCTGACTGGAATTAGTTCCTGTCACTCCCAAAAAATATTGACCACGTGTCTGTGTTTACTTAGTCTTTTATCATTTGGATACTCTGGTACCTGTTTTTGCAGGGTCTGATTCAATTCCTGTTGATGCTTTGACTGTCCAACTGGAATTTTTCACTGAGGACAGGATTGAGCCCTCAGCTCAGAAGGTTCCCTCTGGTTTGAGCAATACAAGCTGTTTCACCTGGAAGAGCTGAAATCTCTCTAATACAGGTGTATTCTGCTGCTGCAGCCTGTGTTCTCCTGCCTACTGAATTCTGTTTTTCTCATGGCAGCTCCTTCGAATGACCATAGCAAAGCAAAGACTCGGAGATGATGAAGTTGGGGCTCGGCACTTTGCAGCACATGAACGAGAGGACCTGGTTCAACAACTGGAGAAGGCTCGAGAACAAGTAATGACTAAATGGGCATATAGTGTCATGTTTTACAGAACTAGGTGCAGTAGCAAGTGAATTACTTCCATTGTGTTGGAAGGGTTGGTAGCTGACTGACATTGAAATAGTGGTGAAGGTGTTGGGATTTTCACTGAAATAGCACTAACTTAAACATACCTATGTGGTTAGAGTGAGTTCCTAATCTCAGGAATTCATCGTCTAGATTAATGATTCTCCTTTTTTTTAAAATATGCAATAGCAACTTGTGGTATTTGAATATTGTCAATGAATGTCAATGAAAGGGACCCTTTAGTGAAAGCTGTTTACAAGTATGCAACACAGTATGCAGTAGCTGTTGTATCTCCTGAAGATACTCTCTGAATGAAATTTTCAGTAGAAGTGTTGCTAGGCTCCTCTTCCTCCCACCCCTGAAGTACTTCTTCCCCTCTTCTGAAAAAAATCTCACATCAGACCTCTTTTTCCTAACTCCAGCCTGTATTAATACTATGTATCATGCAGCATCCAATTCATCAGGCCCTTTCCCTTATACTGATACATAACTTTTTGGACAGTTTGGGGCACTCATCTGTTTTTCCCACACTCGTTCCTACCAATGTCAGTTCCACCCTGAGTGAGCCATTCTGTGATCCAGGAGAGGTGCATATTTCTGATTTTTCAGACTTCACTCAATTGCAGCACCACTTTAGCTTACCAAAAAGGCTGTTGGCCTTCTTCCAGTGTGATCGTCTCTGTTAACTCTGTTCCCAAGCTCCCACTCTTTCTGTTCATCACCGGGTCTCTTTTCATGCGGTGGTCTGTTGTCCTTCCTGATTTATCTATGTTTCCTGAGGTGTAGGTGGAAACTTCTGAACCCACTGCAGACTTTGCTCACACTCATAGTTTCCTCTCTTTGAAAGTTCAAAGCTCTTTGTCCTTGCGTATCTTTCATACCAGACTTCATCACTCTGTTGCTTAATAGCAAAGCTCACCCTGTTGCCTTCATGCTGATTTATTTTGCACTTTCTTAGTTCTTCTTCCTATTCTGTGGAGCTTCATTGCTCAAGTCCCATAATTAGTATAAATTCCTATTTACAGACTTCCTCTTCCAAGTTTAACAAGTATTTGTTCAGTTGAGTTCATTCCTGAAGTCCTAGAAATTATATGCTAAAACCAGCTTAATATGTTTGTAACTGAATTAGAGTATGGACTGAGATTTCTTTTGCTGTCACATTTTATTTGTTTTCTACAAATTCTGTAAAACAAATCTTACTGCTAAAGTTACTTAACTTCAAATTAATAGCAAAATAGAGTAAAAGTACATATGAAAAGACTTTTGACTGTTCAAAATCATTCCTGTTCAGCCCTTGTTGCTGTTTTCAGTTTGGGTGCTATGTAATCTTTTGTTTAAACTCAAAATAGTGATACAGCTCTCCTTTCTTCTCAGATTGAGACTCTGAGATATGATCTTCAGGCTGCCCTGGATGAGTTACAGGATGTGAAACAGGAACGCTCTTTTTACCAAGATAAGTCTGACAGACTAAACCAAGAGCTGAATCATATCTTAGGAGGGCATGAAAACCGTATCATCGACGTAGATGCTCTGTGTATGGAGAACAGGTGAATGCCTTACTGTTCCCCTAGAAAAAAACAAGGAATGTTGCTGTAACAGGAGAATCAGGAGGTCAGGCACAACAACATTTTAAAGAAAATATAACCAAGAATAAAAGTTAAGACATTTTGGTAATTTGTTTTGTCTGTTTTGTTTGTATTTTTACTAAGCATCAAATAATATTGAGAAGGGCTGTGGGAAATTACCAATGTTTTATTTGGCTACAGAGGTGTCAGTGATATTCCCAAATAGAGCTAAACAAGGAAAAGGAAGAGAAGTGCAGACCTTTTTATTCCCATCAGTGTATGGCACCAAAAGCAAGAATATTAAAAATTTGTGTCTTCAGAAACAACTGAGCTGTAATGGGCTAATGTTGGATTGGAAACAAGGACTTTGAGAACCCTGAGCTAACAGTTTCAGACATAATTTTCACCACAGGGAGAGGTTGTCAGCATGGAGTGATTTGCCAACAAAATTTGCTGGTGAAATCACCCATGTAGATGTTGTTGCTGCTTCCTTGGGAAAAGAATGTGTTTTATGGCCACCACTAAGGATGACAGAGAGGAGTCACTGACAGAGTCATAGAAGGTACTTCCCTTAATGTCAACAATTACCTTAAAGTGAAATAGAACTTGTAAGACACTTTCTATTTACAGAGACTTATGCTTCAGGTAAGAAAGTGTAATACCAAAGGCATTACTTCTTCCCAGCAGCTCCAGGGGTTTTTTTTCTGTTTTGTGTGGCCTACAGAGTTCTGTATCAATTTAAGCCTCATGCTAACCTGACAGCAATGTGAATTTTTTTTCTCTGAAATAATTGTCACAAACCCTAATACAGCAGCAGTTGCACTACATGAAAGAGGATATTTTATAAACCCTTTATACATAAAAAAGACATTTTCCTATGTGGAAATAACTGTCTAATCCTAGTGCATAAACTATATTAGGAAGAACTGTACTGTTTCAGTTAACTGTATTCATTTTTCAACTATACTGCTAAGTTTTCTGCTTGTGATTGCTAATGAGAAGTGCCAAGTAAGTGATGGATATTGCAATGCAAAAGTTCTACATAGCTGAGTCTTGTGTTAATATATATACAAATCTTCATGTGTCCATCCCATAGACCTTCAAGCACCGAGGACATGAGTAAATGCTTCCTGACTGTTTCCTCTAGACATCAATATATCCTTTTAGCTTCCTTCCCCGAAGACCTGAGGACTGATATAAAATGGCTGTGCAGCATACTTGACAAATCTAACAGAAGGGCAGCCTCCTGTTCTGATGCAATTTGTTTCCCTACTCAAAGTTTTATGGGGTCAAGAGCAGTAAGATTTTGTTATTTTATCCCTCACAGAACTGCAGAGGGAAAAGGACTCTCAGTAGTTCAAAGACAGGACATGCCAACTAGTAAAGAAGACTGCTTGAGGGAGTACTTGAAGGTAACATGAAGTAAAGGATTACATTTCTTTTTCAGGTATCTTCAAGAGAGATTAAAACAACTTCAAGAGGAAGTCAACCTTCTTAAGTCTAGTATTACTAAATATAAGGTAAGATGCTCTCTGTCTATCATCCTAACTGTGCTTTGTTGTTCATGGAAGTTATTGTTCATTTTCATGTTACATGTATTTAAAGAAGAAAATTGTGTCATAGAAGAAAAATCCACCATTAACATCCTGACAATATTACATGCTCAGTCTTCCTTCTGGGCTTCTTAGCCAATGGTAGTACAAAGGGATAACCATTAAGAGTATTTCCAAAAATTAGTTAAATACCTTTTTATAAGTTTTGTGGGGGAACTCTCCTCCTGCTGAGGGGCAGGTGATCACCCTTCCAGCCTGCTGGTAGGTGAAAAGTTTCAGATCATGCAGCTGTGTTGCCATCACTAAAAGGTCTTGTCTCCCTGTCCCCTAACGGCTGTGCTATTTCTTCACATATCTTAATGATCACTAAGCCTTCATTGTTCTTCCATTCCTGGGTTAAGGGATATGCTGTTTTACATTAAGCCTTCAGGACTGAATTTTGCCCTTCCCTGAAGTTAAGCATTCTTATTTTCTTCTGCAAGAGATTATGGGGAATGGGAGGGGAGGGCATGAGGAGGGTAATCTTAGGGCTGTCAATAGACCTTCTTCATTTAGGTCACTATAAAAATGTCACAGCACTGACTGCTTTCTGTGCATGAGCAAAGCTCCTCCAAGTACCAACTTCATTTCAGCGTCTGCTCACACTTACAACTTGGGTCTCTTGGAGTGTGAGTTAAGTTTTTGGATGAGAACTGAGCATCTTGTGGTCTGGTGAAGTTTGAAGGAGCTGTCCTTCTGTAGCAGGATCACTCTGCTTCTAATTCCTAAAAGTTGGTATTTACTACTAAAAGGGCTTCTAGAAACTCTGATAGAGGAGTTTGAGCTTTCCCTTTGAAGCCTATCCAAAGAAATGCTGGGAAAAGTCTGATGTTGTTTCCAACTGATATTCTCTACAGGATACTGCAGTATCTTCACTGGCACTCAGCAGTTTATTAAAAAATAGGCAAGCCTTAAAAATGCTTTGGGGGGAGTGGGTGGAAGAGACTACAGTAAAGTGATTGCGATGAGACAAGTCTTTGTAACACTGCAAAGACTGTTTTGGCTGGAGAATCAGACTCCAAGAGAGTCACACCCCCATAGCTTATTATGGGTGTAAGCTCTAGCCCCTGCAGAGTTGTTCTGAGGCCAAAATCCAAAGTTCCAGATTCTATCCTCCTAATGACAGGATTTGTTGGCTACTGTTTTTCTAAATAAGATATTTGTTGTTTCCCTAGAATGCACTAGAGAGACGAAAAAATTCAAAGACTCATAGTAGATCCAGTAGCAGTGCTCTGACTGGAGTCCTTTCTGCAAAGCAAGGTATTGCATAAATGCAGCATGGTGTTGCGTATCTCATTGAATTCCTTTCATCTTACCACTTAATTTCAGCAGCCCTTTCCTCACCAACCAA